GAGTTTAATTTTCGAAGGTAAGACGGCACCGCGGCGAAACTCCTCGTACGTACGTACGACGAATTCGTCAACGAAGTGGCGAGAGCGCGACGACTATTAAAAAGAGGGATTGAAAATGAGCCGCGCGACGCGCAGTTTTGTAACCGCGAACAACTGCCACGGCGTTGGTTGCACGATGAAGTTTCTATTATCCCGCTATCTGTTACAAGCGCGAACAAATTGCGAGCATTTATGCTCGCTGGTAGATAAACTCCAAGGTAAACTAAGCTGGCACCGCAGCGTTACGAGCGTGACGAGGTGAAGTTTATTAATCTTTCGCGCGACTCGCGTAATGGCGGCGACGGAGGGGTGAGGAGAGGAGGGATTAATTGACCAAGAGCCGCGCACCGTCGTGAAATTTCAGCTGATACGATGACCTTCTCCCTTTTTTTGGGGGGGGGGGCGGTAATCGTTATCGACGCGGTTTTATTCGAACATTTTATACGATTACGATTACGTTTACGTGGAGTGATGTTTCATTCGAATAATCCAACTGGGTGTGAATTAATTAAATTCAGCGTTGCCGGCGCTGCGAGTCGATGTGGATCGAAACTAAATCTCGATCCCATCCCAGCGCGACCCCAATTCGCTGATTTCGAAATCTTAAATGACAGATCGACAGTGATAATTCGGACCTGATCGAAACTCACTTTTTAACATTCGAAAACATCTTTCTAAAAAATATTCTCACTGTTGCACCAATAACGTAAACTGTTACATGCAGGTAAGTTACATACATATAGGGTGGGTCAAAAATCACGTCCTACTAAAACAAATCCGTAATTTTTTCATTATATATGTACGAATTTGCGAACGCTCTGAAAATCATTTTTTCAACTTTATTTAATTTTACTGTTTGAACTTAAATTTAATTTAAAATTGATAAAATTACTTTATCTTTATATTTTGATGTCTTATTAAAAAAAAAAGAGAAAAAATAATAAGTGAGAAGAAACTTTTGGCCCACCCTACATTATTGCAAAATATGCAAAACAAACTCCTCTGTGGAATACGATTTTTATTCCATATTTTGTTCGTTATATTTGTATCTCGTTTCCAAAACTTTCAACGTCGTTTGAATCAAATTTGAAACATACGAAATCTTACGCGAATTCGACGAACCTATTGCGAGTATATTTTTAGATATACACTGATCATGCGTTCGACAAGACGGACGAGCTGCGCGTGTTTTAGGCTCGTTGATATTCGTTGACTGATGCAACGCTCACTTTTACAAAAGGAAAATACACCGAAAATAGGTTTTCAGCGTTCGTGGTCGCGCGCGGCGAAGAATTACGAATGAAGGAAAGGGCGGGAAATAAATAATTAACGAGAGCCAACGTCAAATACCATCACCGATGGAAAACAATGAAAATAAACAACGGACTAATATAGTTTCTAGCGACCGAGCGTTCGACGCTGCGGTCACGGCTTTACAATAGGATTCGATTGCATTGATAAACGAACAAAACGGCGGCGAATGTGTCGTGGATTTGATCGATCCGTGAAATTCACCAGCTTAAAACGATCCCGCTCGCTTAACTCTGCTGCACTGTCGCAACAAAAAGAAAAAAAAAAAAAAAAAAGGATTGTTGCGAATGGCATTCGTTACGACGCATTGAGTTAGGAAATGCTCACGAATTCCGACGACAGCTGAGGAGAACTTGAAAAAGAATTTCTCAATGAAAGAATTTCTCATTTCCGCGATGGGTATTTCCCGATTGTATTTCACACCGGCAGCAGCTCAGAAAATTGAGACAATATCGACGACAATTGTTCTAACGACAATATCATTTATTTATTTAAAGTCGCGTCAAGTTAAAAAAGCAATTGGAGACTACCGCTACTTAACAATTTTTACAATTTTTCCGTACGTGTATATATTTAATGGATTTACTTGCTAAAAAGTAATTGTATTTTTTCTAAAAATGAAACTAACTTCATTTTAAACAGGAAATTCATTATGGAGTTCGATACCTGATTGTTCGAGCTTGTTTCAGAAAAAAAGGTACACGATCTCGTTAATAATTATCGATTTCAAAATGGAAAATCAAGAAGGAAAATTTTCGTTGTAGTTTGCTGTGTACTATTTCCCAATAGGAAAAATACAACGCTGTGCAAACTCATAAAAAATTATCTGACATATGTACGAATATATGATGAAAAACCCTTGAAGGACTGTGTCAGTTTGCTAAATTTCACTATTAACGAGGATATCAAATCATTCTTGTCGAAACTGATAAGAGTTTCGAAGCTGACTGAAAGATAATCAAACAAAATTGTCGATATATTAATGAAGTTTTTGTTTTTGACGAAAAATTTTCCTTTCATTTACACACAAAAAACGCAGCTACTTTTTGGCTAACCAAATACATGGTTACGATTGAATTACTAATGTACAACTAAAGTATTACAAATTATTACATTGCAATACATTACGTCAATCAGTACACATCACTTGTTCAAACAGTGCCAAACAATGATAATAGTAAATCGCATTGAATAATCAAACAAGTACAATTCTACGGAAAGCCAATATTTTAATGATCCATGTGAAATTTCATTTCGTTGCTCGTGTTTGTTATTCATTCAACGAAAAGCTGAGAGAAAGGAACGCGAGATAGGGCGAAAAATGCAAAACTGAATTGGAAATCTACGGTGAAACTCTGGATAAAAGGAAACGTTGATTTCAGCATCGCGCGAGCACTTACGATTCGCAGTCGAATAGATTCTGCATGTAACTTTGTTATGAAACTGGTAAACCCGTTGCAATTTGCATTGCGTTGCTAAAACCTGCCGATATGTGTACGTACACGTATCACGAAACCGTGCATATCCTCGATTCACGCATTGTGGCTGATCAAAACCGACCGTAGCCACTGCGAACTCGCAAGTTCGAATGCTAAAACGATTTACAGATAATTCTATTAGCAAAATTACAACGCTGACCACGCGAGAGAGGAAAGGTGTGTCCTCTGTCGATGGAAAGTTTGAGAAATTGTGGATTATAGAGAATCGGAACGTGATAAGTGAAAAAAAACTGAAATGAAAAGACAGTCATTGTATCGAATTTTTGTAGAAAAGATGTATGTATATTGTCCACGGAAACTATTCCGTTTAACGAGGAGAAAAAGATCAAGCGTGCAGTATTCGTCCATTGTGCGAAGGAGAAAAGGAATACGGCGTATTTCGTGCTATACGAAAAGGAAATTTCTGAGAAATAACATTTCTGACAGTGGGAAATTGCATTACCCGTCGATGTCTTGCGTACCCCTATTTCGCGATAACCATACGCGCGAAAAACGGGCTGTATAATATTGGAAATCGTTCGATCAACCGACGGAAGTTCCGCTGTAATTACAACAACTAATTCGAATTTATTGGCTGGCTGTTGACGTTATCACAATCGGTAATAATAATCAGTGAGAACTGCAGCCAAACTGAAATAATTCATAATCGTAGGGAATGAAGTTAAAAAAGTTCAATGACGAAGTTTGCCCGCGATACATTCCGCCTTGCATAATCAGGTCACGTGGAAATATATTCTATGTACATATACTAATTGCTTTATCCAACGGTGTTTAACAGTTTCTATAAAATTATTACGCGGGTGCTTTAATTAATGCATTCACGTTCGTTGCCGCAGTTCCCCGCGAAAAGTACGTAAGTGTGTAGAACCGTCTGGTATAACTCTCGACAAAAAAAGTCGAACACGCGCGACCAGGATAATTAAAAACGCGAGGAAATATAAGAAAATAATTCTTCAGCTCTTGAAACTGTCAAAAACCGGCCAAAGGATTCTTGTTATTTCGAAAATTCGTACTGTTTTCCTCGATTAATTAAACGAATGGAAAATTGAAAGATTACTTCAGAAAGACCGACTTGACAGGAATTTCATTTCCCTCTTATCGATTTCACAGTTTTGGTGTGATGTATTCACATTTCAATCAGAATGTCGCTTTTTCCACGCGAGAGTCTCCACACGTCATGAAATTATAATCACGAGCTAACAGTAAGCGAAAAAATTCCCGGGGCAAAAGAATGTTCTTCGTAGAATTATCATTGATGAGACGTAATTGAAAGAACACACGAACGTACGAGCGTGACTCAATTCGACGAAAAACAAACGTGTAACCATCGGTGCGTGTTTACCAACGAAGTAAAGTAAGTATTCGTAGTTTGGCTGTTCTCGCATCGCCAAATTGCATGCAGTTGCTCTCGGAATACATTTAGAGCTCGGGATACTTTTTTTTCGCAGTATTTAAATTATACTTCAACTGACGAGTTTTTGGTTGATAAAAGTTTGGCAATTTTGACATTTGATTTGTGAGCAATCCAAATCAAATCGTTCGTCCTGGCAAAAATATACTGTCGTTGAAAGAACTCGAAAGAAAATAATCATGTGATATACGTGACCCTCTAATGTTAACACTAAAACTATCAGAATAGTGAGATTATAAAACAATCAATTTATAAATTTATACATTTATAACAATATTCGAATAACTTTTAATGAAATAAAGAAGCTCGTGTTCTTCATTACATTATAAATTCTTCATTTCACTACAATTTCTCTGATTTAATATATTATAATTTCTCTTCACTATACTATAAATTGTTCCTTTCATATTAATTTCTCTGCTTAATTTTATACTTTAGCCGTCGGTAATTGTAGTGTTAACACGTTGACTACAACTTTCACGGTTCGTTTACGAGACCAAGTATTTAATTTCTGTAATATATTGAATTACGATAAAGTAGAACGAAAGTGTATTTCTGCTTTTTATAATATTACGTTATTCCATTTATACGTTATTCCAAAATGTTTATAGAAACAGGTACCACTAGATAATCACTAGTGACTTAATTTTTCCACGAATACATGAATATTTCCGCATTAGAATTCCGCGGCCGATTTTCCGCGATCCTTCTACCAAAAAAAAATACAACACGTGGATTACCTTGTTCACCAGCTCGCACGAGGACTATCTCATGAATCGCCAGCAGGACGACGGTAAGCCCGAAGATAGTGCACTGCAGATAGCGCCACATCTCCGAAAACGAGAAGGGCCAGTCCCTACGTGCTGTCCGGATGACCCTTCATTCCCCCCTTTCGACGAACATCGCTGTGCCGGGTGAACGTCAGCCAGAGAAAAGACGACTCATCGATTGCCAGCTGTTCGTCAGACCTGTGGCCGTGTGTCTCGACGCGAACACCGCTCAAACGGAGAACCGTAACAACCTCGATCCCTACGCCGTGGCGACATTAACCGATTTCACAGTGGAATGCCAAATGATTCGCTTTAATTAGCAAATTCGCTGCTCAGGAAAGGAAGAGTTCGAGTGGTTCTTCCTTCGCTTCGAGTTACCATCACCACTTGGCTTCGTCTGATCAGTGAAACGAGTCGGTCCTAACGAATCGAACATTTTGAACACCCGCCACGCCTGACATTTAAACGTTCCCCCGTTCTATTTAACGCGATTCGTTGTATCTTCGATTCGATGGTCACGAGGCACGAAAGTTTCTCGTCCGCGGGAAACGTTTGGTTACGAGGTCAAGATGCACGGACGCACGCACTATCACTTGAATCACTCGGCTCGAACATCGATTCGTATCGACGTGACGTTCTACGCTAGTCACCCGCGATCAGTCTGCGATCTGTTTACAGCTATTCGAAGGGTCAACCTTCCGTCCACTGATACGCTCGACCTATCGCGACCGCAGAAACGAACTCGCATCCGAAACAAGCGACATCGTGCTTCCCACTGAAGTTCCTTTCCGATGTAGCGTTGGCAACACACCACCACTGGCGGTTTCCAGTCAGAGGATCAAAGCTCCCGCTCTCTCGCTGTTAAAAGCAATCGGAACCCCTATTTGCCCCTGAAATCTAACGATCAGCGTGAAGTTTCTATTCGGGCGATCACGAGTTTCCACTGGTGACAAGCCCACGCTCGTTCCTCGTACACGTATGCACGTATGTCCCGCGTTTTCGGTAGTAGTAGTTGCGAAAATCGCGGGAAAATCGAACGAAACCACTCGGGATCGTTGACAAACACACACTCAGTTCTCTCTTCTCCCTGATCTTTCACTTTCAGTGCACTCGTTCCAGTGAACTCGAACGAATTGTTCGGACGTTCGCGAAAAAAAAAGAGGCAGGACAATCCGTTCGAATATTCGTGGCGGTATCACAAGTCAGGATCGACACGTGAACGCAACGATAACGCACTTTGCTCCAAAATATCGGCAGAATTCGAACACTTCAGACGCTCGATCGTCTCACGATGCTCGTTCGAGCTGAACTGAACGAACAAACGTGAACGTATATGATGATCGCAGAGATGGGATCGCCTCGCGATGTTGATCGTCGAAGAACCCTTCGATCACTGGGGATCGCTGGCGAACGTTATCGTGGAGCCGCGTGGGGCGCGAGGAAGCGCGAAACGCCGAGCGACTGTCGAGCGAGAAAACTGCACGCGCGTAAACGGGGAGAGAGAAAGAGTGAGAGTGAGAGTGAGAATGAGAGTGAGAGTGTGAGAGAGAGAGGGAGAGAGAGAGAAAGAAAGAGCTCGCGCAGTGACACGATTGGAAGCGCAGTGGCAGAAGCGCTTCGGTAAACTCGCCGGCCGCTTCTTCGAAACGCGAAGTACTGAGCGGAGAGCCGAGCGGAGACGACGGTAGCCGTGCGAACCCGAATGAAGGGATCATGCGACTCAGCTACTGTTAGGCGCCTCTATCCAGCCACCCCCATCGCGAAACGCCTGTCCGGTTGCGCCGTGGCACACTGATAGCTCCGCCGCGCCACCCACCCCTACCTACGCGCGTCTCCTACCTTCTTCACCCGTCTGTTTTACTTACTGCGTTATCTTCTTATTTTGCTCATTGCGTTGCACGATAAGGTTCGACCTGTCATATTTGACATACACCGAAAACATAGCGTTTGTTACGGTGGTAGGAGGAAATTTCCCCAGCTGAGATATTAGCAAAAATATTTTTTTATTAGAAAAGACAGTTAAGTTCAGTAACACTATGTATTTTAGACCTTATTTGGTGTAATACTTTTTCTATACAGAATTCAATGCTTTTATGCTTTGTCCGAATTCGAGAAGAAATATTAACTATTCTATTTAAAATTGAACTACTTTTCTCATCCGTCTGTATTACTAACTGTGTTATCTTCTTATTTTGCTCATTGCGTTGCACGATAAGGTTCGGCCTATAATACGCTGAAAACGTTGCGTTTGTCAAGGAGGAAATTCCCCCCGCTCAGATATTAGCAAAAATATTTTTTTACTTTGTATTAGAAAAGACAGTTAAGTTCAGTAACACTATGTATTTTAGACCTTATTTGGTGTAATACTTTTTTATGCGGAATTCAATGCTTTTATGCTTTGTCCGATTTCGAGAAGAAATATTAACTGTTCCATTTAAAAAATTGAACTACCTTCCTTACCCGTGTGTTTTACTTACTGCGTTATCTTCTTATTTTGCTCATTGCGTTGCACGATAAGGTTCGACCTGTCATATTTGACATACACCGAAAACATTGCGTTTGTTACGGTGGTAGGAGGAAATTTCCCCAGCTGAGATATTAGCAAAAATATTTTTTTATTAGAAAAGACAGTTAAGTTCAGTAACACTATGTATTTTAGACCTTATTTGGTGTAATACTTTTTCTATACAGAATTCAATGCTTTTATGCTTTGTCCGAATTCGAGAAGAAATATTAACTGTTCCATTTAAAAAATTGAACTACCTTCCTCACCCGTGTGTTTTACTTACTGCGTTATCTTCTTACTTTGCTCATTGCGTTGCACGATAAGGTTCGGCCTGTCATACTTGACATACGCCGAAAACGTTGCGTTTGTCAAGGAGGAAATTCCCCCCGCTGAGATATTAGCAAAAATATTTTTTTGCTTTGTATTAGAAAAGACAGTTAAGTTCAGTAACACTATGTATTTTAGACCTTATTTGATGTAATATTTTTTTATACAGAATTCAATACTTTTATGCTTTGTCCAAATTCGAGAAGAAATATTAACTATTCCATTTAAAAAATTGAACTACCTTCCTCACCCGTCTGTTTTACTTACTGCGTTATCTTCTTATTTTGCTCATTGCGTTGCACGATAAGATTCAGCCTATCATGTTGACATACGCCGAAAACGTTGCGTTTGTCAAGGAGGAAATCCTCCCCCCCCCCCCCCCGCTGAGATATTAGCAAAAATATTTTTTTACATTGTATTAGAAAAGACAGTTCCGCTCAGTAACATTATGTATTTTAGACCGTATTTGGTGTAATACTTTTTCAGCAACGCTTTGTCCGAATTCGAAAAGAAATGTTAACTATTCCATTTAAAAAATTAAAGGTGACTCCATATTTTGATAAAAAAGCAAAATAACATAAAACTGATTGCAGTACTATATGCAGTACTATACTTTCCCTCTGGAAACCATGCAACTTCTATCTGAAACATTTTTTCGTACAATAAATATTTTATGAGTTATTTGATGTCGTCACATTATGAGACTCCCTATATTTATATATATATATATATACACACACACATATACATACGTATGTATATCGTCAGAATACTGTCACTGAACAGTTTAACAGATCACTTTATGTCAAGAAATGTATTTCTGATTTGCCGATAGAAGACAACGCAATTGTTCACCATTTCATATATCAAATTGTTTCATATATTCATGTATCAAGTTGTTTTTCTTTTTATTACAGCGACCGTGGATTAAGTTGTAATGTAGATGCATACTTTTAAAAGTGGCTAAGAGGTTTAAAAAACGTACGTCTGGTACATTCAATTTTGACGGACGCGTATCGCGAGGATACAAAAGAGGCCAAATTGAAAGAGGAGTGGAACTCAAAAGTCCAACGGTCGGGCGAACCGTTTCATCAGCATGATCAACAGCTGGCAACCTACACGTTCCGACACTGGAAGCTTGACAATCCGCAAAGTAACGAGCGTGGTAAATCAAAATATGCCTGAAACTAGCCTGGCACTGATGCGAATGTAATACAACTGGCGGTGCTCTCGCTGTAAGCCTGATTTGTACCGCTATTAAATCGAAGTGAACAAACTACGTGCGATCGCTACTCTCCATCAGCTGCTGTGCATTGCCAAATGCAATGAACCGGATGCGCGATCACGGTGACAGAAGCCGAAAAACCATAAAATAATGTCTCGGCTGGCCGTGTTGGCCGATTTAATTTGACGCTGTTTTAATGTATTCACTTTGGTTAACAGTCGCCCCGTCCTGTTTCTCCATGCTTTTGCGCTAAGTTATTTTGCAACAATTATCCGATCCCGATTTTTCGTTTCGCAGTTCTGCAGTACACCGCGGTGTGCATTTTGCGCGATGCGTATTTTGCAGAAACAATCGTGGCTGCGGGCGGGCATCGGCTTAATCATCCAATTTGCCAATATCGGGGAATTATTTTCGCGTGAATTGGGCCACGGCGCGATCTTTGGAAATAAAACCACGCGTGCCTTTCGGGATCATCAATTTCCACAAAAGTTGTACAGTTTCCGAGTATTTGCGCGACATTGTAACGCAAATTTAGCGGGGAGAGCTGAACTGTTTTCGGGGAACAATATCGCTCGGCGTGTAACTAACTGAGATCTATTAAAAACTGGTCCAAATGTCGCGTATATTTACGAAAACCTTTATTGTCGTTGTTACTGTATACGCAAATGCGCGTTCGATACTCGATAACGCGTCAACGATAAAAAAAAAGTAAACTTTCGAGCAACGACGCGCCCATTTCGAGCTTTAATCTATTAACTCGTCGTTATCTAATTAATTTTTAATAAGTAATTTATCGCTCGGGACTTGGCGTTCCTCGGCTGAGAATTAGACTGGAAGATCCATTGGAAGTTGAAGCAATTGGACCAGAAAATGCGAACACGGCGCAAAGACGATCGCGCAATTTTCAATAATACACGACCGGCGGATAATTAAGGGAAGTTGCGCCGATAACGGATGACAGTTTGTCGTTCGCCTCACTGTGAACAGCGTGTCGCGGCTCTAAAATTTATGCGGGAAAATTACAGTTCGATGCAGAACGCGTGGCGCTATGCACAGATAGCCGGCGTTATGATGCACGGAATCAGTGCAATAAAACATCAACGATACGGTACCACGGGGATTCTACGTTGTCTGGTTGCTGTAAATATAATCGTATACACATGTCACTTTTGTTTCTCCATTTTTTTTCTTTTCATCGGTTTCATAAAAAATCTACGAATCGAGAATGAATTCCTCGAGCGTTGAAAATTCCGTGACAATGCTTAGGAAACAAAATGTTACAGACAGAATATGCAACACCGTGTTGAAACCGATCTGAATTAATATGTTCAGCGGCAACAATGTCCGGGACGGGAAAATTTCACGGTTACAAAAGACGGGGTGTACAAATTGAATTTTTTGCGCGCACGATATGAATAAAACATTTAACGCCCTTCGTTTTCTGCCGATGACCATGTGTCTCCGATATTCGTCCAGCAAAAATAATTAACGTAACTCGCCTTTTCTTTTCTAACATATAACGAACTTTCTTAATTCGTATCTAAGTCGAGGATACTTATTATGATTACATGTACAGTGGCTCACGTTAATATTCAAACACTAAATATCGATACTGTTGTTTCAATTCTGTGAAAAGAAATCGTGCGATAGCCAAACAAACTCGAAGCTTCTACTTTCGAAACGTGTGATTTATTTTATCCTTAGATGTTTTCTACGCTATGAACACTTCGTCTCTGATAATATTATAAATTGTCATAACACTGAAAAATTCTTTTCCTGATTGAATCAACAATGGATTTAAAAATCGTCGCTTCCCCTTTCCATACGATTACTCGAAACCTATTGTACGATTCTTTCACGTCAATTCATTACACTTTGAACATGGGAGAGAACATAAGCGAAAATGTTACGGTTTCTCGAATCTTCAAAATTCAATAAAATCAACGGCGACAAAGAATCGTACATGAAGTTTCCGCGGATCCTTGTAAAGGAGAGATTTCAATCTTCAGATTCAGCGACGAGAAAAATTTTCATTTCAGAATAAAATGATACATTCTAAAAGTAGAGACTAAAATGAGTCCAAGCGTGTTATTGTACGATTTCCTTCTACAAGATTGTAACGATTTCAACATTTAGTGTCCGAATGATAATACGGGGTCACCGTGTATCTTCGACATCTTCTTAGATGTTTAGAAACGTTTGAGATTCATGAATGGAGTGCAGTTGGTGACGATCTGTTCTTACGAATATTCGGCACAGCATACTCAACGGTGCTGCTGCGTTATTTATAAATTGAAAAAGAAAGAGATGCTTCGCACACCGGATGCAATTTGGTCGCGTTAAATTCAGCAGTAGGCATTTCCTGCAGCTTGGCGTGCTGATATTCCCTCCGAATCATTCCACGTCGTCTCTTTAAACGCGAACACAAGCTGGTGGAATGGAAGTAATCTAACGCAAGAAATCAAATCCTCGGAAGGATCTGCGATCCGCAATCATTTTCAGCGTGCATTTAAAAGACAGAAATTCCGTGCACTCGAATATTTCGCTCGCGTCACGAAGAATTTAGTTGTAAATTGAAATCAACAAGATGCACAATTTCCTAACGATACACGGACCATTCGCTGATCGTAAATTCCAATTTCGAACGTATAACATTTACATATAGAGGCACGTTCCTTACGATATAGCACGTTGTTTGCGTATAACACGTTGCTTGCTTCAGCTACTTAACCGACATTATGGTATTATACGCTATCAAATTATAGCTCGCATTC